CCACTGTTCCTTTCCTCCTTACCCAGATAAATTGCCTCATTTGATTGGTCAGCAGTAAGCAAAGAAACCCAGAATATAAACCAAGTGGTCACAGCAACACTGGCCTAGCCTCAGAAGAAGCCTGTAAAATTTAAAGTGCATGCATATGGCTCTTGTCCTCCTGAGAAGTGAAAGGTTGTTAGTGGAACCACCCCACACCAGGGAGAGACTGGACTTCCTTTAGTAATGTTCATGGGGGAAAACAGAGCTTACAGGTGGGCATGGAAGAGCCACCGGGCCAGTGGGTTATGAGGCCATCCGTCCAAGAAGCCCTGTGGAAGGCTGTGGACAGTTGTGACCACTGAAACTGAGAGATCAGGTGGGTTTGCTATGGAAGCTGGAATGGGACAGTACCTGAGGGCAGGAGGGCATGTGCTGATGTTCCTGTGACACCAACCCCCTCAAGTGTTACAGCACCATCTGCTCCTTGTGGGTGTAAAGCCTGGGCAACTGGCCTTTCCAGGGCAGCTGCACAAAGAGCAAAGCATTCTTGGTGTTGCACATCAAGGGATTGCAAAGGCCATGAGAGTGAGAGTGAGTGTCAGGACAGGCCACTGTTGTCACAATAATGTGTGACAACTCTGTACACAATCACACGTGCCTGCCAGCTCCATGAAACAGATGGATGTCTGTTTCACGTTAGCCCTTGGACCTTCCTTGACACACCCCTGGGTTTCATCTGGGGCCAAGGACATTTCTTGGACCTTCCGTCTTTGAACAGCACAGCCAGAAGACTGCAGAGGATAACAGCTTTGACTCCAGGCCACTTCCCATGGAGATGTCTTGTTCCCCTGGGTGGAGGACGGGACCCCTTCCTCTGCTGTCTCTGATTCCAGCTCACACTGTCAGCCTGCTTAGACTTTAGAGAGTGTTCTGTATGCGGTGTCTCCCCATGAACACTGGATGGAGCTCCTCAAGGGCACAACCCTGCTGAATTTCTCTCTGAATCCTTAGCATCTGGTGTTCAGATGTGGTGTGGTGCAATCAGGGCTGGTTGCATAATGAAACGATATTTATTAAATTTAGTGCGATTTTAAAAATTCCCCCGACTGAAACCATTAATTTCATGCTTGTCCTGCGCCTTGTGTGCTATTCCATGCTGGCAAAACAAACAAATGATCTAATACTGTTCTCTGGTGGGGGTCGCATTCCGGAGGGGACAAATCAAGAGATGGGCAATTTTCAAACCAGGCAACGCTTGCACTGCCAAAGGACACAGGGTGGCATTTACCCAGAGCAGGAGCGAAGCCTCTCCTGACCCTAGTAAGTGCCACTATGTCTTCTTAAATTGTTTCCATCTCCACCTTGACCTTCTAAATAAGGTGGTCAAACAGCTCTTCTCAGGTCGGGCGACACCCACTGGCCCTGACTCTCCTCCGAGCAGCCTTCCCGCCCCCGTGTGCTGTGCAGACTGCAGCCATGCACTGTGTAGCCTTCATTAAACTGTCCGCCGTGATTCATAGATGGCTCCCCCAGAGGCTGCACATAATTCAGAAGCCATCAGCACGCTGGGGACAGGAGGCTTAGATTGCACCTTCCGGGACATGTTACCTTGGGTTGGCCCACAATGAAATTCACTGGCCTCATTGAAGTTTAAGTGCTCCACCCAGCTGTGCCCTTTGCAGATTCCTGGGCCTCCAACCTGCTGCTGACCAGCAAAGGAGCCCCCGACTGTAGTCCCTGGAGGTGGTGACTGACGTGTATGCACTGCTGCAGAACCGCAGCCCCATGAGAAGAGGCGATTGTGGGGGGCAGAAACTGAAGATGGCAAGCCAGCAGGGGGGACAGTGTCTGGGATCATAAGAGACATCAATCTGGACTGTGTCACTCGGTCCTGGAGTGTCCAGAGCTCACTCTGCTCTCTCCTATTCCAGAGCTCCCTCTCCGAAGCTCCCTCTGGCTTGCTCTGTTTGGGGCACAGTAAGACCTGGCTGAGGCCTACAGCAGAGAATGCCCTGGACCACTGAGAGTTAACTGGACAAATGTACATGTCACAAGGTGGGGACCTAAGCATTGAAGAGATGCTATAGCACGAGAGAAAGCCATAGAGGGAGACCACTCTCCTGTGGGTGTCTTCAGCGTCCTAAACTGAGGGAGGAGAGGGCTGAGCACCACAGCACACACTGCCTGGCTAGGTGGCTTTGTCTGACTGGAGGAGGTAGATTCAGGGGATGTGGTGTTGGGCCAGTGGATCCTGTGGGTCCTGCCGGGAAACTGCCAGGCTGAATGGTGCCACTTTTCAATGCACTCATCTCCAAGCGATCACCTGACGTCCAGCAAGCCAGGTCCACCCCTGCCTTAGCCTCAGTGTCTGTCCTGGTCTCTGGGTGCTGGCCCTGCGCTCTGGCTGATAGGATGAGTATGGCCCGTCACTGTGATCCAGGAGCGTCAGGCACAGATGACATTTTTAATGCTCCTGTTTTGACCCATGTCCTCAGTTGTTCAATTTTCCACTTACAGTATCGTATTGTGCTCACAAAGTTTTAGATTTTAGGTCTTAGGTTTTTGATCAAATTACCCATGTGTTTTACCTCAATAACTTCATGGTGTCCCCCATCAGGAAAAAATATTTGTTGAGATTTCTCTCATTTTACTTATGACAGGACTGAAGCTGAGAGAAGTGAAGTCATTTTCCCAAAGCCACACAGCCAATCGCAGCTTACCAAGGCATTGGTTGCAACACCATGGACTGGTGGGTGTGTCCAGGAGACCCCTAGCAGCCCCCCCCCCCCCCGACAGAGCAGTCCTTGGCAGGTCCTTGGCTTCCTGGAGTACTTTGGCTTTGGAAGTGCACTTGAGTTTGCACTGGGGACGACGAGCTTCTCCTTTGTCTTTTTTAACAGTACCCCCACATGACAGAAGAAACAGTCATCTTAGGGCACCGGCCACCTCTCTTTTGACTGCTTCAAGGTGCTTAGATTGATGGCAACATATTGCCTCCAAGAAATCCCAGCTGTGGGGCCCATAACTGAGACGATCACAGCCACTAACATTCATTAGACACCTGTTAGGCTCAGCTCTGCGCTGAGCGAAGTAGGCAATTTTGTCATCTCCGCTTTGGAGGAGGAAAAAGGCACAGAGGGGCTGTGTCTTTGCCCACGGTCACATAGCTGGTCAAAGGCAGAGCCACGCCATGGACTGAGCCCTTTAATTCATGCATCCTGTGGTCCCCTTCATCAGTGCGAAGTGTGTTGGATCAGCCTAAGCCTCTGAGCCAGAGGGTCCACCCTGATGTACTGAAAGCCTACCAAGAGACCCCCCTGCCCCCAGGGGATGGAGCAGGGGCTCAGGGCCGGTGGTGGGCAGGGTGAAGGAGCATAGTGCCCTGGTACTGGTACTGGGTATTGGAGGAAGGCACTGAAGAAGAGAAAGGGATTTTGAGCAGGGAGTGGAAAGAGAAAAGGATGACCAAGAACAAGCTCGTTCAGTCTCGTAACTTTGTATGAATCTGTTTAGAGACAAGTTGGGTTATTTGGTGGTGCATCCTAGGGGGATTCTGGGAAGTATTCAGATCAGATCAGGGAGAAAATAACCGAAGTACGGTTGCTTACAAAGTCACTGTGTGTTTGTGCGTAAGAAAAGGTACAGAGTGAAAAATGCCTAATAATTCTTATTTGGCTAGTTTTGGCTGTCACCGTAGGCTTTGGGGATGGCTGTTTTGGTCTGATTTTGTCATTGCATGGACTCCCAGGGCTGTTCTACTGTGATTCTTCTGGCTTAAATGTTTCTTTCAATTGCTGCTCCACTTGTCGAGGGGGCCCTTCATCTGGCCCTCATCCCCCGGCTTACTGAGCTCAGCACCTTCCCTTCAAATGAACCGCACTATTTTTTATTTATAATGCCGCATTGCTACCGCTTCAGCGATTTCCTCCTTTTGACATTCTCATGAGCCTGAGCCTCCACTGCTCCTGCATCCATGCTCTGTGCCTGCAAGAGGGGCTGGAGCTCTGAGACTTCCGGCTTCTTGCACTGCCATTTGGGTGCTTTTATAACAGACAGTGCATGTTTCAGTTTTATTACTTATGAAGAACAACTAGATGAGGTGCATTTGTTTGGCTTGGAAATTCCACCTGGTTCAATGCCTGGTGTCAGCTGAAATTACATCTCAGTTTCCTCCTCTACAGACCTTCCTAAAAATATCCTTTTCATTTGGATGCAGGATTTCCTCCCTATCTTCAGGGCACTGGTTTGGTTTGAGGGGATCCTAAGGAAAAGTGAAATTTCTTTTAAAATTTGAGATCTTAGCCTTCCTGTGGGATAATCAGGTTGCAATATTGCTGTTCAAGGCCATGAGAAAAGTGCGTTGTTGGTTTTTGAGCCAATTTCAGCTGTTCTCTTATTTCTATACTTATGTAAACGTGAGGGTACAGTCAGGGTGAAGCTTTACAATCAAACAGTTGCCCTATTTTGCAGAGGTAAGAACGTTGGGGTTCAGGGTCTGAGTCACTTGGAGCTTCTTGCCAGCTTCCTAGATGTATGACCAGTCTGGGACTCAGTTTCCTCATCTATAAATGGGAATATTATTAACACTTTGTTGATAAAACTGTTAAAAACATTAGATAAGACAACACACAGATTTGTACACAGAAGTGCTCAGTAAAAGTTAGCTATACTAGTTTTAGACACTACCTAGAGAATGCTCAGCTCCAAAATCTCTGCTATGAGTCATGGTATCAACACACAAAGGTAAAGGTGAATCAGTACAGGCACACAGAGTAGCTGAAACCATGGTCTTTTTGATGGTGACTGTCAAATGGATGATCGATTTTTATTACTAGGAACCCACACTGCCTGCTCAATAACATTTCTAATTCATTAGCTAAGAAAATCTTTGACAATCAGACATTCTGCCTAAGTATCGAGTGGCCCCTAAAATAGAAGAGAGAGAAGCATCAGACAGAACCTGCGTGCGCTCTCCCTCTCACTTGCTGCTGGCCAGTGCCCCTGTAAACCACACTCACCACACGGAGTCCTTGGTGAGCTTGGAACTCACATTCCCGTCCTCTTCCAGGAAGATGTCCATTTGCAAATTGGCATTATTATCATGGGCTGAGAAGTAATTGGTAACAACCCTTGCTGGAATTCCGAGACATCGCAGAACTGCAAGAAAGAGCCATCACTAGACACAGCACCACAATTTAAGAAATGCACAGCGAAAAATCCCGTTATAGATGAGATTTTCTTCTTTTCCAACATGCTAAGATCAATGGACAGGTCTTCAAATGTCCCTTACAGAAAAAGCATGACTTGTTCAACACCTGGGAGCATGAGAGAGACATCTTGGTGTGTGACTTTAGTTGATGCCAAATAAAGGCTACTATAGTAGAATCCAAACTAACAGTGTTCTAATGCCTTAGTTTCTTATCATAGGGTCATCAAAGTAGTATTGCATTAGTTTACTTAATGAGCTCATGGTCCTGAAAACAAATTTAAAAACATCTAGTAGGAAGTTAGAAATTTATAGAGCAGGACCTCAGTGAGGTTTGCTCTTCCTGGCTGGAATTTACTCTTGTGACACGCAGTGCAGGGTGACACCACAGATTCATTTTAATTGTTAGATAATAAATTACCTGGGTGCATCGCTTGCCATATGTACCTATCGATTAAACTTAATCTAAATGCCCTCTCTGGTTCCCGGGATGCCAGACATCAGGATTCATTGAAAATAATTCACCTGACAATTTTAAGATTAATGACTTGGCTTGCTGGTTTTTTTTCACCCTCAGAATAGTTTAGCATTTTTTTAAACAAAGACTCTCCACCCACTTCAATAGAACAACCTTGGAAGTCCAACCTCGAGTCTTGCAGAGGCTCAAGTGTTCCCTTCCTTAAGGACTCGATCTGACACCCCCAAAATCATCAGTGGCAGCCAGCACTGGCTTCCCACTCCCATCTTCCCATTGGCCCGCTCTTCCTGTTGCCCCGCAGTGTCATCCAGAAGAGGACTGGCTCTCTTCTATTTCCGATGGGTTTCAGCTCTAGTCTGGTTGTGTGGGGGGTTGAACCCAGGGTCTCCAGCATGCTGAGCTCATGCTCTTGCATGAGTTCCTTGCTCCGGACCCCTAGTGTGACTTTCTGAACACTGATGCACATGATCCCAGATGAGAGCTTGTTCTGGAGTCCACTTACTTATAATTTTAAGGAGGTGAAGCTCACCTTTGGGGCGCTTTTCCTCTTTCTTTCCAGTTTCCTCCTTCGTGTTTATTGTTACCTTGAGTTCCCCACAATTATCATCAAAGCCCATTTGTGAGTGCAGACCTGATGGCTCTTTTATACATCACGGGCACAAATGGATGGAAAGTGCTCCCCATGTTTTGTGTTTCCAACCCTACAGGAGCTGAGGGAAGTCACAGGCACAGGGAGGACTTTCTCTCTTCCCGGATTCCTTTCCTGAGAGTGGCTGCCTCTGCTGGGCAGCCTCTCATCATGTGGGCTCCAGGGAGGGAAATCTCTTCAGTATGCAGCCCATTGTGAGGCTCAGCTTTTTAGGGCTTCAGGGACTGCCCTTCCGGGAGACTGATCCTGCCGGCCTTCACAGCATCCAGGAAGTATATATTCCTTTAGCTCTTGCGTATATTGAAAATGCCCAGAATTTTTTTTTAGCTGATGCCAGAGGGAAATGAAACAAACAAAACAAAATCTACAGTTTTTTTTTTCCCCCAGCTTGGATCACTGACTAAATCCTAAACTATCACAACTCAGAGCAAACACTGGTGGGTTTCATAATCATTTTTCAAACTGGCCTTGCTCCAGTCTTTACCTGTTTTTTTCTTTTTATTTAAAATATGCTAAGTAGGTAAAACATTCTTTATTAATGAGCAGGCAGGAAGGACACTCTGACTTGAGTTGATTGTTTCTCCAAGGCTGTAGAAGTGGGGTATGAATAAAAATAATCACCAGTGTATAGCTTAATAAATGTATTTTTAAAAATATTCACTGAATTAATATTGTAACATGATCTGGGACTAGAGAGGCAAAAGCCATTTCAAAAAATGATGCACAGAGCTGAAGAGAATAATTCTGTTCCTGTCTGTTGTGTTCTGCAGATTGGCTGCTGGGTAGATTAAACGTCAGAGGGGCAACTGGGAGGGAAGGATTGCTCATCGCATTCCGATATCTAATTGCTCGGGGCATTGCAACTCACACATGAAAATGGAGACGAGACTCCTGCTACAATCCCTTTCATACCTGGGATAATAATTAAGTGGATATATTTACAAAACTTTCCACTAATAAATATGCATATTTATGTAACATCTCAGTAATATGTAAGCAGTGTAACTTTCTTTATTCCTTTTTAGTTATTCTTCATGTTTAAAAAAATGAGCTTACAGAGAAGAAAATGGTTCATCTTTTCCCCCTGCATCCTTACTTGGCCCCGTGACCTTCCATTGCTCTGGGTGTTAAATGATGAATTAAGAAGGAAACAGTACATCATTCTTTTCATAAAGATTCTGCAGTCAGAGAGACTATGAGCATATTTGGCCCAGTAAAATTTAATTATGCATTGACTACATTCCAGAATACTCACCCATAAATTCTATAGAGCCAACAAGGACTGCTGAGTCTCTTTGCCAGGTTGCAGATAAAATGTCCTGAAGTGAAACTTCCTTTATGTTAAAAAAAGTTACTCAATTGGTTACTTACATGTATTAAAGACTCCAGCAAAAACCCAGCATTGGCCGTACTGGACTGGATTCTGAGAGCTTTTGTATTCCAATAGGATGTCAACACTTCCAGTCCAGGCCGAGGGGGGCACGCCATAGGCATAAATATTGTCCCAGGATCCCACAATGACACCTTGGTCATCTTTGGCATTAATCTAAATGAGGCCACAAGAGGTGAGAAAGAAGAAAGGTCACTCAGATGAGTCTTCTCCAGACTATGACACTGAGCGAGGTGAGGCTTCAGTGCCTCCCCTACGTCCTGCAGGAGAAAACAGCTCCAGTGGGCTCCAATCGCCATTAATTTGCCAGGAGAAATGCTTCAAAACTAAGTGAGCAAAGGGGAAACCAAATAACCACGGCTGCCTGTTAAATTGTGTTTTGTTGTAGTCGAGTGAGCTGACTGCAGATAGGAGCATCTCTTGCACACAGGGCACTTGGATTGGGTTGCAATGGTGTTAGGGTATGGAGTGAGTGGGGGAGGCGAGGAGACCTGCAGAAGAACAAGATCAAGAGGCCTGTACTGATGGGAGGGAAACGCACAGCTGGCAAACGAGGGGAAAAAGGATCCAATGGAGTTTCACTTCTATGATGAGTAGTGGGCACAATGAATCCGAAAAGCTAACACGTTGCCACAGGAACCACAATAGGCAAATAGAAAATAACTTTACATACATAATTCACAAACTTTATTCCTTAAAATGTTGCTAAGGGAATATTTGCTTTATAATTGTTTAAAGTGATTCAAGTTTTATAGTTTTGTTAAAGTGAATCTCTGTTTCCACAAAGGGCCCTGAATGTTACAGTTTCACTATGGAAAAGACTTAAGCAGCAAAAGGCCATCTCAAATCCTTAGGAAAAACTTGCTACACATTCAGACTGTGGTCATCTAGTAACAACAGACGGGGGGAGTTCAGGAACAAAGGCTTTGCATGTTTAGACAGTAACACCAAACCCGAGAAGTTTCAGGGCAGCCTGCCAGTTTTTTTTCTGTGTACCACAGAGTCTACCTCTTCCGATGTGAACTTTATCACACTGAATTATAGTCAGAAGGGACTATTGGTGGGGAGCACTGGGCGCTTTTCCAAAACTGAGTGCCACATCAACAAATCTATCATTGACGTGACCACTGTTTAGAGCCTTGTGACCCAAAGTGTGGTCAGCCAGTTTGACCTTTTCAAGGAGCTTACTGGAAACGCAGAATCTTCCTCCTCGGACTGATAGATGAAGCATGCATTGTAACCAGATCCACAGGTGTTCTGCATGCAAATCACAGAAGCAAAACATTTGGACTACACAGAAAAGATACCATCAAGCAATTTAAGATATGATCTGAAGCACGTGCACTGGGATTATGAAAACCATAAGAGACATTTTGAAATATGGTGAGTTTTAATGTGTTGCTGCCTCGCCAATCAATAAATAGCATAGCCTCAGCCCCTGCCTGCCCAGAGCTCTCTCTGTGGCTGCTGCGTGTAGCTGTAGAGGAGTCCATCTTTCTCCCTGGCTGAGAAGTTCTAGAACAGAGATAAAAGTCTATATCTTTCTGATTTCCAGTAAATATGAACAATAGTCACTGAGTGACTTTTTCCAAAGAGAATCACATAGCGTGCTGTCTAGCCAATCACTCTTCCATTTGATTTTCTTAATTTCCCACTTTGACTGTCTACAGTCAGGTTAAAGTGGAGAGTTTTAGTAACTTCAAAAATTAGTGTGTTTGATGTAGAAGAAAATAATTCTTCGAAGGTTCTGAGTGATTTTGACCAGCTAGTTATAAATTCATGCCTCTGGTACGAACTTCAATTGTAGACTAGAGACCACGAAGTGCTTAGGTTTCGGTAGGCTTTAGTCAACTATCCTACTTTGTTCATGATCAGTGCTTCTCATTATTGATTTGATTATTTAAAAATCTGTACTGATTGTGGAGCTGGGGAAGTGTCTTGGTACAGTGTGATGTGGGGTGGTCCCCATGTGCAGACTCCACGTTGAACTCACGTTACCATTCCTTTAACTGAGTAGTAGAACAGGATCTCTGAATCCCACAGGTGAAAGTCCCTAAACTGTGGTCTCATGACTGATTCTCAGATAAAGAGCCATTAATTAAAAGAACTATTTTTAGCATAAAGCTGAACCCAAGAAACTACAGGAAAGAGCAAGGGGAAAAAAATCTCTCTTCCTTATAGACCCTCTAATTGTTAATGCTGAGCTGTTGCTAGATAAATCACAACTCTCATTCATTAGCATTTGAGCAGATGAGCTACTGTTTTCTAATTAGAACATTGATTTCTATGGCTTTCAGACACTGAGAGGTAAGACTTGGGTGACAGGTATAAAGAGTCAAAGTATTATCTCCCTCCCCAGACAAGATGTCTTGGAGGGCAGAGGCACACTTCAAGGACACACTGGTCCTTTTGTGTGCTACCATTGGTTGTCATAACCCACTGTTGTGAAGTTAGAATTTGACCAGTGGCAGCCTAACCTGGGCTAGTCATGGGTTACTGGGGATCACGGAGAAAATAGGAGGTCAGGACTACAGGTAGGACATGTCATGTAATTCCTTTTTTCTTTCTTTCTTTCTTTTTTTTGTCTTTTTCTTTTTTATCAGTACCGGGGATTCAACTCACGACCACAAACTTGCAAGGCAGGTGCTTATGCTGCTGAGCTGAATCCCCAGCCCCTGTAATTTCAATATGGCTACAATAAAATACTCTCCCTAAGTGCCTACGGGATTGAAAAATGAAGGACAAAAGCAGCATTCCCAGCAGTCTCAGTGGTGTAACATAAAGCAAGGAACCACAGGTCGTAACAACAGAGAAGATAAGGGCACGGGAGTGGAGGAGCAAGTGAAGCAGACAGGGGCAGGTGCCGGCCCTGATCGTAACCACCCCGTTCTTCAGGCGCCTTGTTGTTGAATTAACAAAGTCCTGAGTTTTAAAAATTTATCTTTGAAAATCAGGAAAGCAACAAATCAAACTAAAATGCAAAGTTTTCTCTTGTGCTGACCAAAATCTGAAAGTGACTTTTGTGGAGAAACGGGTGATAAAGGACCTGCACGTCAAAAGAGACACTCTCTGGTACTCAGTGGGAGACATGACACAAAGCTCAGGAGTATGCCATGGGATGAAACCTATTTCCCTTTGGGGGGAGGGGTCCCGGAAGCACAAATTCAGCTCACTCTTAAAAGGAAACAGAGTCCAAACATTCTGGCAAAGACTGTCCCTCTCCTCAGCTAATGTACTCTCTTTGCTCCAATTTTTCTGTGGGTATTGACGAGTAGGTAGGAGTTGCGTACTAGCCTCATACTGTAGTTCGAAGCAGAAATGAAATGCATCTTACACTGAGAAGAGAGTTAAAATTTCATCCATTAGAGCAAACAGACCACCTGGGGAAGAACTATGCAAGCACGAGTGGAAACAAAAGAAGATGTTAGGCAGGACTGACAGGTAGAGAGATAGCACGAAAAACTCATACGAAAAAGGAAACACAATTAAGAAATACAAAGAATCTTCTTACAATTCCTTAAAATGTCATTGACCCAAGAGAACAAATTGAGAGCCAAATCATATTACAGAACTAATAATTGCCAGGCGTAGTGGTGCACACCTGTAACCACAGCACAGGGGAGGCTGAGGCAGGAGGGTCACTGCGAGTTCAAGAGCAGCCTGGACTACACAGCCAGGCACTGTATCAGGAAAACAAAAGAACTGATAATAATTATTAACTACAGGAAACAGAACAAACTAATGACATAGAAGACAAGTTTGAAATAAAGATATGCTAATAAAAAAGACAAGAAGGGCATGGTATAGAGAGAAACTAACAGTTATTAAAGAGAAACTATAGAGAAGCTAACAGTTATTAAAGATGATATAACGTCAGGATAATTAGAGTCCTTGGAGAAGAAAAGCCAATGACTGAATTAAAAGCTATAGTCATCACAAAATAAGATTTTCTTAAATGAGGTAAAATTGAATCTGTAAAGATTCTGAAAGAGCGGTCTGTACTCTGTGACTTGATGTAATCTTTAGTCAATTTGAACTTTAGGAATAAAAGGTAATTGGTCATTTAGACCAAAAAAAAAGTGCAAATTAGTAATAAGTGAGGGAATCAGCTGCCTTCAAAGTTCCTCACAGTACCATTTCAGGAGAACACTGACAATGTCTAGGAAAGAATGGCCTGAGAACATCATGCCCTGCCTGGGGCCAGAGAGGGGTGAAGGCAGCCAGCACACCCTCTCGAACACTGAGTGAGGATGGCAGGGAATTAGATAGCTATCACAGACTCCTCAGAAAGAAAGTCAAGATACTTAAGGGCTTACTCAGAGACTCTGCGATAAAAGACTCAGCTCTGAGAGAAATCCACAGAAGTTAAGTATCTTTGGGAACCATAGTTACAGGATAAATTTGAAAACTTAATATTGTAAAAACAATAATCACTGTAGGAAAAATTAGGCATGGAGGAGGAGAAAGTATGAAACTGTTAATGTGTTTTCCTTTCATAGTTAATTGACGGCTCTAAAATTAAAATGTAATTTTAAAGTACATAATTACTTTATTCTTTTAATGATTTTCATAATTTTTAAATAACTTGAGAGGGATCTGCTAAGAATTCATGTCCTTATTAGAGAAGAAACTTTAAGATAAAAATTTTCTTTTGTGGTTACTCAGTTTTTTCTTTCTATTAAAGTAAAATTTAATAAAGCAAAGTTTTACAAATCATATATGTGGTAAGGGGGTAATAACCAAAATATATAAGGAACTCACATATTAATACAACTATTAATACAGGGGCAAAATATCGGACCAGACTTTTCTCAAAAGAAGGCATAAGAATGGTCAATAGATACATGAAAAAATATTCAATAGGATGCAATAGGTTTATAATAGAGAAAAGTCACTTCATCAGAGCCATAGAAAGTGTGCGTGCAACTAAATCTCAGTGAAGTGCAAATTTAAATCGCAATGAGATATAATCTTACTCATTTGCATGACTATTGTGTAAAGGATGAATGAGAAATCTTGGTGAGGGGATGGAGAAAAAGGAAACATCGCACGTTATTAGTGGAGAAGTAAATTATTTTAGAAAATAATACATAGTTCTACAAAAAATTTAAAATAGAATTACCATATAGTATAGCACCCCAATTCTGGGCATGTGA